ATGACACGTTGATAAGAGGAACGGCCTGAGCGATGAGGAAACAGCCGACGTGGAGAAGTGGTTTAAAATCCTATCAGCAAGCCGCGTGAGCCTACCTGCCGCCTGTGTCTTTACAACAGCAAAGACAGCATGTTGGACACAAATCTAAACACACATCTCTTAAATTAAACCTGCGCATGAGCAAAATGCCAAAGAAAGATTTGTTTGCTTTTTGAAATGTGTACGCGAAAGTTTGAAATATGATCGTGGCTCCCCGCTTTCACTTGCCCCCGTCTTTGAAATCCTGACAGGCCATTGGGGAACTCAGTCCCACATAACTTACGCTTCCCTGCTGCCATCCAGGCTGCAGAATCATGACACAAGGTTCACACACTTAACCTCCATTCATCTAACGCTGCAGTCAGTTGTGTAAGGTGAGATCCGGTCGGAGGTTAACTCAGCACAAACAGATTGGATAGAAAACATGAAAACAGGGTAAACTCAAGCATGAAAGTCATCGGTCGAATCTGGCTTCACAAACCAGGAGGAAAAAAATGTTCCAGTCCATTTAGTTAAAGATGGGTCCTCTCCTCCCTGCACTATCCCACTCCTCCTCACACTGAATATCAGGTTTCCAAGGAGACACTGTATGAAACCAATCACAGCTACTTTCCAGACACTCCACAAACATTACCGCTGTCCATAAATGTGAAGAAGTAGCACAGAAGTAAAAAAAAAAAAAAAGAGTCAGATATTATCTATGGACTTCAAACCCAGCCAACACAACTGAATCCATTTTGACAGGTTTACTTTGACACGTTTCAGTGCCTCCCATTGTATTTAAGAGTGGATGGTGAGTCATCATGTGAGACACAGGTGAGTGAAGAGCTTCTCTCTTTATTTAACCAAACACTGTGGCCACACAGAGGAAAAGGATTCACACACATCACACTATCCCTTGTTCCTTTTACACTAAATCTAGCGTATGTCCTCAAATAAAAGCCGGGTTATGCGCTCAACTAAATGCCAAGACACTGCGTTTATGAAGCTGGTCTTGCGATAACAATCAAAGCCTTGTTTAAAACAAATGAATGAATTCAGGCAACAGAAATGCGGGAGGGCTTTTACTTTGAAACTTGAAGTGCTGCAGATATGTATGTTTGTGACATATTCGACAGATAAACATTGCACGCTGTTCACAGCAGAACAGACAGAGACAAATTAGATTTCATTAAAGTTTTAATGTATATCTGTTGAATTTATATCAGAAATACAAATGTTTGCAACACTTGCTGAACCCATTTCAAAATAAAAGTACCCCACTGTTTGAATCCATTTATTTGTTTAAAAAAGGGTTTTATTGTGTAATATTTGCGGCTCAATGATGTATATTGCTGGTATTTATTTGAGTATATAGGACTACTTCTATACAAGGAAATACAGTACTTATATTTTACGCCATTTCCAAGGCAAACACTATGTTGAACATATTAATAGATTAATTAATAGATTAATAGAAATGTGTTAATAAATAATAGTTTGATAATAATTTAATATTTCATTTGAGAAAATTGCCAAAAATATCTGGTTCCAGCTTCTTAAATGTAATGTTTAGCTTCTTCTCTGTGAATTTGTGAAAGCATAATTTTGTGTTAGTGAAATTTTGTTTTAATTTGGATGATGTCTCAGTAAAAATATACTATTGGGAATATCTTTCACCATCTTCTAATACCTAACCAAGTCAACAATAAAAACTACTCATCAGATTTACCTGAAGCTGAAAATAGAAATAACTGATGAGGAAAGTGGGCTGTGATGAGTTTCCTGCTGCTTAAATGTGAAAAACAAAACTACTTGAATGAGAATTAAGTGGGTAATTAAAGACAGCTACAGTCCAACTAGGAGCAATCAAGCAAAGCAAGAAGTTAGCGACTGTGCCATAACCCCCTTTACGGCTTCAGCCATGAGGATTACAACAGAAAGTTATTTAGTTGATTTAATATCTAGGACTGCTTCCAAAACCACTCCGGCATTTTGGAGCTGCTTAAACTGAGACGTTCATAACACTGCTTTCCCCATTTTAGTTTGAAAAGACGTAATTTGAGCAATCCGCGACAGTTCCTGTGTCCAGCTGGATGCTTATGGAGCGAAAACACTTTCGACAAAGTTTTCAGAAATGTAATAAATTGGTATGGATGTAGCCAAAGAGCCCAAGGTGACGACTTCTCTATCAAAATGTGCACCAGTGGTTTTTACCTTTCAGATCATTCATCCTAAACAGATGTGGAGACTTGTAGTTTTTTTAGAAAGTGTTAATCACCGAGTGTAAACATTTGACCAGATGGAGAGTGTGGAAGAGCGGGCCGGCGTTCAACGGTTTAAAAAAAAATAAAAGAAACTGCACAGTAGCCCTCTCTCTGATCTATTACACTCAGGCTGTGTTTCACAAGAAAAACACTAAGCGGCTTTCGAAGAGCCAACAGACATGGATCGACCGTGGCTGGCAATTTGTCATCCTGTAAAAAACGCAGAGGTACCAAAGCTTTCACCAGCGCTGGAAAGACCTCATGGCATGTGTCATCGCGTTTGACCCTACTGAGGGTTCTGTATTCTCCTGAGGGGATTTATGCCGCAGTGTTTGAGCCATGTCACATTCATAAAGACTGGACTGGAGCTAAAGGGCAGGAAGAAGGGCGATCATCCGATTTCCTACAATCAAAGGCTTCTTAAGTAAGAATCCAAAGCTCTGAAGGTTCCATATCAGTAAATAGAGATGTGATTTATAGACTGCTAGCAGCAGAGTGCGGCTTGAGCAGCGCTGTTCTATCCAAATCTGCCCGAGCCTGAGAGAACCTGATGAGCCCAACCTGAAAACGATGCGGAAGTTGCACTGAGTTTGACAGCTGCTTTCAGATCCTTCCCGACCACTCCAAAGGATCTCCAGAAATTCTCTGGAGAAGCGGTATGTGAGAACGCAAATATCCAAATTTTAACAAACAGCTACAGAACAAATACTTTCTGCGCAAACAAGGAATCGTGTGAGGTTCGTGATACACTGTAGAGAGTGAAACATGAATCTTATTTTCTGGCCATCAGTCAGGAAATGAAGCACCACATCGATCAGCAGTGGAAATAGAAACAGCCACTTCCTCCCTGGATACATTAGAAAGCCTCAGATTGAATGTGACTGCAGGTCGTCTGGTCTGTCAGCGTGAACATATTGCCACAAAGTGAGACTATCCCCCCCCGACTTAGCCCAGAGTACACTTTCTTTTTGAGAGAGACACAAACTGACACATTGGGGAAAACCTTGACTATTTTGCAATGCTTGTATTTCAGTGTCACTGCAGAATGAGCGCCTGCGGGCCTGCGACCGACTAAAGCCACATGAATGTCCACCACAAGTGACTTCCACCCGTCACTGCTCCACCTCCACACCTAACACCCTCAAACCAAGCAGCTCTTAAAAACAAGGTTTATCTGTTCCGTGTCCAAAGGCAACATCACATGGGATTACTTCTGTCTGGCGGGGCTTCAAACCGACACGCTGTGGAGTGACATTTAGCACAACACGCAAAATGCTCCAAAAAGACATCAGCGCAACATTTTCACCATTTAACATAACTTCCAACCCTTTCATTATGTCGTCTGAGAGCTACAGAGGAGAGGACACAGAGGATTTCCCCGAAATCGCTCACTCAATAACCCCTACTTCACTATGTCGTGACTTCTATGTGGTGAGCTCATTGACAAAAGAAGAAAAGCTTTCAGACACAACTCGAGCGCAGGTAATTACATCATCAAGGTTATGACGTACAATACATTTCCAATGTTCTTTTGTTTTTTAGAATTAACACTTTCAGGTAAAAAGCATGTTGACTGGACATATTTACATGTAGAAGTAAACTTGTTTGTTGCAGTTTGTGCTGTGATGCGCTGCTCTGCTCTTATTTACACTGTACAACCGGTCCGGCTGTTCCTGCTGCCCTCTCTCTTCTCTGGCACAAGCGCAATGCATGATGGTATATTGCTCGGTTAGTGACCATCAGTGGAACACTACTTTTCACGATGCATATTGTGGAAACGACTACAAACACCACTACAAAAATGCAAACTCCATAAAGCTGCCTTCATGCACTGGACTCAGATCCTCAGTGTTTTCTCTGCAGGAGGTGCTTGTGTGAACGCGAATCTCCGAGTGAGACGCTCCGCAGTTCCTACAGACTTTATCTGCCTGGCCCCCAGTACAAAGTCTGTAGAAATCAAAGTGAGAACACAGCAGGGGGTTCACCACAAGTGAGTGTGGGGGGGGGGGGGTTGATGACGCTTCTAACAGCCGCAAAATAATGAAAGAAAGAAACAAGAAAAACGATACATCCCGGTGAAAAAGCGGGGTGTCACACACGTACGAGACACGGACGAGTTTGTGGTTGATGACGTATTAACCTGCTGCAGAGTTAATACGTCACTTCCTGTCTCTGTCTGCTGCACCCGGCTGCTCCACCTCTCTCCGAACAATGTGGAGAATTTGTTGCTGTTGCGTCTGCGCAGAGAACCTCCCGCTGCGTTGTGCAAGTGTGGAAGGCAGACTGCAGGTGAGAGTCGGTAGCCGATTCTCCCCGATTTTTACCTGGAGGTCACGTCTGAACAAACGGCACATGTCGTGGACTCAGGGAGGGATCTCAGCCACAGCCATGGATTCTTTTATTTGCCACTAAAAACAAATAACACTCTGCACCACTGTTCTCTTCACAGAACCACATATCCACTGCCTTCCCTGCACAACGCTCATGTGAGAAATGTATTTCAAAAGCACAGCAATAGTTAAAAACTTTTTTTTTTTTTACTGACACCATGAAAAATGTCAACCACAGTGACTCTGTGGCTTGATGAGGGGCCCACGAGCACTGTGGATGCTTTCCGATAAGGGTCTGAACCAGCTCCTCCTCTCACAACACAGGGAAACAAGCTGCCACAGAAGAAAACACAGAGCACACCTGCAGAAATACTCCAGTGTTTACCTCTTTTTGGTTTGGGGAAGCTTTCGTGCAGGTGAAAAACCACTTTCTCCACAAAGTGCTGGATGTTGCTGTGCTCCGGTCCTCGGACAAACACCATCCAGTCGTGGGTGAAGCCTTCCACTGTGGGTTTCTTTCTGACTTGGGCACGGTGACCGAGTTCTAGTTTCACCTGAACAGCACCCTGAGGGGGGGAAAAAAAAACAGGATGTTGGATTTATTGCTCAAATTTGAAATGAATCCACCGGAACACTGCACCTGGTTGACAGAGCATGAGAATCATTTCCATGGCCATCATTTAGAGAAAAACAATACATCCTTATGCGGATTGATTTGCTGCTTTAAGAACTTTTTCTCTTCTCATTGCAGCCCAGTGCGTATCCATGACCCTGCATTGAGAAGTCCGTTGAGAAAAGTGCAGATTTAACGCCACAACCTGACTTGCAGCCTGCAGGGGAACTCTTGAATTAAACATCCACGCGTGAAGCAGAACACGTTTCCACGCACTTCAAACTCCTGCAAATTGCGTCAGCTTTGCAAAACAACATCCAAAGATGATGACACGAGAATAACGAGGAAAAACCAATTCAGAAAGTTGACATCTTATCCGATTCGTATAATAATGCGCGTACAGTGTGCAACACTGCGCCGAATAAAACTGTGGAGTGCAAGAATTCATGTTGGAAATTTACGCACGGGTGAAAACTATTTTTTTTGCGTAAAAATAGAGAAAATTCATTAAATGGGACGTTTGTTGAAAGGAATTTCGACTTGCACGGCTGATTCTGGATCAGCACGTATAGGCTCCTGCTAGCTGGGGGAAAAAATCCTCGTTGCGGACTGAAAGCCACCGACTCCTCCGGTGTGACACAGCAGCGAAACGTCCCGATAAACCCGGTCCCGTTAGAGGCCGACACACCGGCAAGACCCCGCGGCAACCGTACTCACCGAGCTGGCCATCCTGGAGGCCGCGCGCTACTGTTCTTTCATGGAGAACGAGTGTGGAACGGGAGCGGAGGTGAGGACAGCTGCACCGTGACGGCGGACATGGTCTCTCTCCTCCTGGACCCGAGACACTCTACACTTTCACAGGCTCGCCGGCTGTCAGCGGCCCGCAACGACCCGAGGACGTTCCGCTGCGCACTTTCAAAATAAATCTCCCGAGGTGAAGACGTTCCATGTGGAGGCCAAAACCGAGTTAAAGGGAGAGTTCGCCCCAAAATAAAAAAAAATAAAAAAATCAAGTCGTTATCCACTCATCACTATGCCGATGGAGGGGTGGGGTGAAGTGTTCCAGTCCATCAAACAATGTTGGAGTTTCAGGGGCTCCTGTGGTGTCATCCGAGTGTCCATAAGCCCCGACATTCAAATTAGACTGGAAACAAGGTCATTTACGTCCACCGTTATCGTCTTCTGGAGCCGCGTTCACGCTCAAACACCTCACAAGCTCTCGCCCTGTGGGCACGTGACAGGATCAGCAATACACGGCTGTAACTGCACCTGTGCACCCTTTGGCGAGAGCTTGGGTGCACCCAAACATGAGCGGGGCTCCGGAGAAGGATAACAGTGGACATTAAGGCTAAAAACATGGTGCTAATGATGCTGTTTTGAGTCATATTGGAATGTCAGGGCTTATGGACACTTATGGAGGCGTTTTATTTTTCTATTTCTGTTGTTTTTTTACGTTTGAAGAATCAGGCCCCCAGTCTCTTCCATTGCATTGGATTTGGCTGCAACACAGCTAACCCCTGAAACTCCAAAAGTATTTTGCGGACCGACCCCTCCATCATAGATAGAGGTGAGTAGGTAACAAGTGAATTTTCTTTTTTGGATGAACTATCCCTTAAAAGAGGAATGTTTAAGCAACATTTTCATTATTCAAAAATACGTAATGACTTCCCATAGTCTTTGCAATCATGGCGGAACCGTGACCAGAATTTAAAATACATACTCAGAAGTCCTCTCACCTTTGAATTCAATCCTCAAAAATTGTTATAGTATTTGAATATTTCACATTTATATTTGCCGGGCGATGGCGTTTACATTTTTTTTTTGTCTCAGTCACATTTATGTAATTTATTTCAATTAAAGTATATTTTTAATTATCAATATCTTCCATTAAAACATGCATTAACATGCAGTCTTTGTTCATTGCTGCTTTTTTAAATTTATTTTGCGGACGACTCCATGACTTGGCATGTTACCTTTCTGCTTGTCTTCTGATCTTTGTGCTTTTATTTTGAACTAATTCTTTCTGTTTCCGTTCATGTCTGGGTGTAATTCTGCCACCTTCACGGTTTCGTGGTGTAGCGCGCACGCGCAGCCTGGTGTGCCCGCCGTGTCTGTGGAATCAGCACGAGACGGAAAGGACCAATCACAGAGCAGCGGACACACGGGCAACCAATCAGGTGGCAGGAACTCTCCTGTAATCATGTTGCCTTCAAGTCCCAAAGGAAAACCGGCCAAAGAAGCATGTGCGAGTAGTTTGAATGAGATGGTGAAACTTGCTTCTGCAACTGTCTTCACATTATCCTGAAAATATCCTCTCTTACAATTTTCCATTTCTTTCCCAACTTCATAGACTTGTTGTAGTGTTGGCATTCACAGTGAATTGGCTTTTAAACCTTTTGGTTTACTTCCATTACTTCCATTTATTGTCCAAATGAGTTAATGGCCCTCTTTTTGGAAAAAAACCAAAAACAAATGGCTTGATTTTTATATTTGGAATTCTGTTTAAATGAACACATTGAATGATTAACAGTTGTTGATATATAACAAAAGCTAATATACACACAATATGCCTACTCGAAATACCACCATTATTGGTTTTACCACTATCCCGTCATCTCTGTCAGGTTTTTTCTTTCCTAGAAATACTTTAAACATTGATCTATGGGTTCTTTTCTAGTTTAAATGTTATGTTGGTAGTTTCTCCTCACTCTTGGGTTGAGGGACGTGTCACCTTGTTAAGCCCTATGAGATAAATTGTGATTTGTGAATAAAAAACTACATTTAATTGATTTAATTTTCATATAGACAAATGCATTAACCTACCTCACTGACAAATAATGGCTTGTGTCCTCCAAACACACTCATTATTAAACATTATTCATACTCTGATGTATTATATAATTTTTGCAATTCTTTTGAGATTATTTCTAACTTTTACCCAAATCTGAGTCCTACTGTCAGAATGAAAATATGTTAATTTGAAGACAGGCACTCGCTGACTTCCACAGGGTCCTGAAGTCAATGATATGCGGGATTTATTGACTGGGAGAAGTTTAGGAGTATTAGTGTATTATATTATATCATATTATAAATGTGAATGTTGATCATTTAAAAAATTCTGTTTGCAAATGAGTATCAATACTTATTTGCACCTTTGTAATTTGTATGGTTTGTTATCCTTTAAATTTGAGATTCTATTGTTTGATTTAAATCTATTTACTTGCAGCTTTTAATTATGTTTGAGATTGGAGTGTTCTATTTCACTGCTACTCACCTGGACCTGAGTACTTAGCTTTGTTCCCTCTCATGTGCTTCATGTTCCGGGAACGACAATAAATCTTCTTGAATCGTGAACCTTGTCAAGTTATTCTAGAGGCTGCGAAACAGTCCATGCAGAAGAAGGGAGGTAAATTTGTACCTCGGTGGACAAATGGATTTTGGTGAAGCTATTAAATATAGAAATAAAGATTTAAATCAGTAAAAAAAAAGAATCACAGTTTTCAGAATCTTAATATACAGATATATTAAAAGCTGCAAGCAAATGTAAGGAGGATTATTAAAAATACAAAGAAGGAATTTTGGGGGAAATGTTTATTACTCAGTTGGTAGGGAGACAAAAATGTTTTCGAGGATGATTAAAAGAATAAAGGAGATTAAAGGAGAATTTGGGTTTGAGTTTTAAATAATAGGGAAATAAATATTGGCAAAACATTAGTGAAGAGGAGGAGAAGAGGAGGATGAAGATTTATTACAGCAAGAGGAAGATACTACTGATCAACTTTAAACTTTAGAGGAAACGACCCCTCGGTGCGCGTGCTTGTTTTTTTGTCGCGTTTGATCCTCGGTGCTCGCCGTAGTCCCACGCTGGCTCACGGGAGGATGGATGAGGTAAAGTTTGTGCGGCAACATGTGAAACTTGGATTAACATTTAACCGAGGTGATGACACGTCACACCACACGCTGCTGTGTAGCTGCAGTCCACCTGTCTTTAAACGATCTGTTAGCATTAGCTTGTGTCTGTAACTCCTGGCTGCTACCGTTAGCCGGTTATGCTAACTTACTTTGCTAGCTCGCTAGTTGTGTTTAACCGTATTCATTTGAACCATTGTTTCTGGACGCAGAGAGTTTGTGTTCAACGTCTTTGTGCCAAAGTCCACGTGTGACTGACGTGGAACGAGCCGCACGCGGCCAAAGTCAGGAGCTCGACGAGCTTGCAGTAAATCCAATTGAAATATCCGTGAATTTAACATTCGTTTACTCTCTAACAAATTATCGTGGGAATCAAAACGCATTGGGGAGCAGGGTCCGACAGAGGAGAACGGATTCTTTAATTCGGCATGAATAGAATCCACCAGTCGGCTGGTTTGAGGCATGGAAATGACATAAATGCTGCTAAAGTGCACCACATTAGGCGGCTAAAGCAGCAGCAGCAGCATCATGGTGCTGATGTGAGATCAGCTGGCTGGATCCAACACTGAGTCATGTTTCATGTGGTGTGCAGCGCATGGCCACACTGGACCAGCAGCACATGTTGTACAGCGATCATCATACACTTTAATATACTCCAGCACCAAAGCTCTGATGGAAGTGTGACTGTTTAAAGGCTACAGTGCTTTATTTGGTCCTTGGGTTGAATGTTTGAAATGTTTTTCCAACCCTGCAATTCTAGGTGAAAAACTCATCCGTCTGATTGTCCATGTTATAATCTTTCATGCACAATCCAGTGCTCATGTGATGGAAACAACACTTCTCAGAACACAACATAACTTTAAAAAAAGATTCATTTTTGATATGAATTGCAAAGAAAGACTCATTCTCTCCTCTCCTAAGCTCACAAAGTATTAATCGCTATAATATAATGTCTAGTAATGTTAACATAAGACTATAAAGATGTATCAAATGAGAATATTCCCCACCAACCCTCCACCCTGGCGTGATTTCCTTTTTTTCCCCTCACGAACTTATTTTATATATTTTTCATAGTTCGCCGAAAAAAATGAAAATTCACCTCAGGCCTCCCGACGTGGCCACGAGCGAGAGCGTGCCGTCAGAAATCCCACGTGTCCGTGCGGCATGTGCAGCAGCGGCAGTGTCACACAGTAAAGCCTCACTGGTGTCATTTCTAAAGCACTGTTGGCTCAACACTGTTCCTGCATTGTCCTCACTTGTATTGCTAGTGCAGAGCTGGCAGTACACGGCAGCCTATATTGTTTTTTTTTGCTATTAAGGTAAATGTGCCGCAGAAACCACTGGAACGGTTTGCCGTGTGGACTTTTAGAGGTTTCGCTGACCACAGGTAGAATCAAAGATGAAGCCAGTTTTTTGCTTAATCACAAGCGTCGCCTACAGCAGAGCAAACAGTTGCTGAATCATTCGATTCATCTTTGTCAAACCCCTCACCCTGTTAATTCATTTTAAAGACTGTTTCAAGGCTATGGAGAGCTTGACATATAAGGAGTGCCAGTTGTGTTTGTCCTGATCGACAGCCACATTCTCCAGCAACGCCGGTAAATAAGCCCTGGGTGAAGATGAGAGTCGGCTGTGAGCGTCGCTGTGTGTGAGCAGCTGACTTACCTGTGCATGTGTCAGTGGGAGCTGCTGTCAAGTGTGAGCGAGCCGGGCGGTGGACGGAGAGGGAGGGCAGGCGGGCTTATCAGTTAGATAACAGCAGGGGGGTTTGGATTGGGTCTCTGTGTGCGGGGAGGGGGTGCTGGTGGTGTCAGGTCAGGCTACATGAGGCCCATACCCCCCCCCTGTACCATGTTTATGCAAATGTCAGAACAATAGATCAGTTTAAACACTTAAGTCAGAGAAGTTGAATAAAATGGAGTAAAATAGTCTCAGTTCGGAAGAAAAACAATTTTCTTTTCCAAGTTTGCAGTAATATTTATCTACTGACTGTTTTTTTTTTTTGCTTTCCCCACAGTAACACCTTTATACAGTGAGATTTCTTTCAACACAAAATACAAAGTGCTACACAACAGAAAACAAAAGTAAGTATATGAATAATAGTGGTATTATAATAGTAGAGTTAAAAGATCAATGATGACCTGTCCCCCAAAGGAAATTCAGGAATATGCCTTCTTGTTTTTCCTCAGGCAGATTCTTGGGGCCCTGATGGCAAACGCTCTGCCCCATAGTTTCCAGTCTAGATCGTGGAGGTGACAGCCGACCCTTGCTTGAAGACCACAAGCTGCACACAGAGGTAAATGAGGAAATAAAAGATCAGAGATGCAGCCTGGAGCCAGGTCCTGACGAGCCTAAAAAGTAATCAATACGATTTTAAAATCAATCCTGAAACAAACAGGAAGCCAATGTTAAAACAATAAAACGTCTGATGTGATAGGATCTCTTAGTTCCAGTTAAAAGAAGAGCTGCTGAATTTTGTACGGACTGCAGTCCTTTCAGGGGATCAGGACCAGAGAAAAGACTGTGTGCAGTAATAAAAGGCGTGATGTCATAAAAGCATGTTTTATAGTTTCTGCGTCTCGATAAACTTAAAATTGATCTAATTTTCCTGAGATGGTAAAAACAATATTGAACCTCAGTCTCTTTTTGAATGAACAAAAGCCCAAAACCTGAATTATATTCAGTTTCCAAAAACCTGTATTTCGGCAGATGGAGCCATTGTTTTCTTTACACATGACTTGAATGACTTATCAGATATCACTTATCAATTGTTGATTACGGGGGCCCTGGGGAGTTTTCACCTCTGCTCCCTTTGAGGAATCATTAACACACACGTTGTAATATACAGAAAGTTTCTGTCACGGAAATTTAAGGGAGGATGCTTTCAAAAATACTGCCCCATAAAGTGCAGACAACAGTTCTTTATTTATATCTCGCTTTCTAGTCTTGTTGACCACTCAAAGCACTTTACAGTACAGTTTGAAATCAGTACTTTCGGTGTCTTCTTTCTTCTCGTCAGTTCACCTGCACACACTTTTCAGGGTCTTGTCAGGGAGGTTGTTTCGTGGATTTAGCCTGTCTCAGTTTCTTCTGTCAGTGACTCCATGATGCTGAGATCGGGACTCTGCGGGGGTCAGACCATCTGCTGCGGGACTCCTTGTCGCTCTTGTCTCTAAAGATAGTCTATCATGACTCTGGATGCATGTTTGGACTCACTGTCCTGCTGCAGTATGACCTCAGGACAGATCAGACGCCTGATTGGTCACCCAGTTGCTTAACTCGCGCTTAGAAGAGGAACTCCAAAAAATGTCTTCTATTCTAAATAGCTATTTCTGTAAACCTTGCGTTCAAAATATGACACCTGAATACCTTGCTTTTAGAAATATAAACGTTGATTGAAGGGCGACGATTCATTCCCACTTAGCTCATTTAAAGGTTTATTCCGAAAGGTTATTTTTGACTTTTGTCAAAAGTTATGAATCGTAAATGTCGTCCCCGTTGAAACCCTCCGATGGTCAAAACTTCCCAGTATAAACAAAACGCAGTTCGGCGCGTGAGCAGCTGTGGCGCGGAGCCCTCGGACAGCTGGCGCCTGCACACCACATTGTCAGGCCTAATGAGACAACCTGAGATGCGCCCAGTCCGCCTGCTCGGTGACCTGTGAGCCAGAAAGCGCGGAGGTATCCAGGTGACTTGTAAATATTTCAAAGCAAAAAATTATGTCACGGCTACGGGACGGTAATGTCAGGCAGGGATCGTCTTCCAAAGGGTCGGGCTCTGAATACCTTCAAGCAATGCTTCCCCCCACAATGACCCATTAGTGCTATGAGGCAACAGGTGGCTGCGTCACTGGGCTGACCTCAGCACAACTGATACATGATATTCTTGAGGTAAACAAATTTAGGGTGTCACCAAGCTGTCCCTTGGAAAATGTCCCTTATAGTATTGCCTGACATTGATTGAGAACAAAAGTATTAATTCTGTTTACCCGTAGTATGTTTTGTTAGCTGACTCTAATTGGGTTTCTATCTCTCAGGTATGACTTGCAGACGTGATGGAGGCTCTGAAGAAACGGTTTGATTTTCCCAGCCTGGTCGTACAAGCGCAGGTAAGCTGCCGAGTCACGGACCCCGTGCACCTGATATTAACATGCGGTTTATTGTGATCCGATCACAAGTGGGCAGCTCGAAGCACAGGTCTGAACACACGTGCCAGACCACAGTCGGAGGTGGTGTGTCCACACGTGTCCACATTCTTTTTGCTGTGTGTGTGTGAGAACGCGTCCTGGGCCACATATGAATGACCTCCTACTCAGCTGACTACCACTGACCTGCTACAGTATCACTATGAACTGAACCTGTTGTTACTCTTATGCGTCCATGAGACAGATGTGTTTGTGGCCATCGCTAAAATATCAACACAGACCACAACATCATGACTGATACTTGTCTTAAATTGGTGAGCACCTCCTGACTCCTCTCTCTCTCGGGCTGACACACAGACACACACAGTGACAATCGGACACATCTCTAATCTCAGTCTGGGTCAAAACAAGATCATTTGGTCTTAACTAGCACAAATGACATATGTGTTGATTTGCATGCAGAGCGTGGAAGTGAGATCCGAGCGGACTCTCTCGGAACAGATGTTAATACATGGTCTTATCGGGGTCATGGTCGGAGGAGTCAATCACACGGGATGATACGTCAAAGCTGCAAGTCACAATCACCCATTAACACACATTCATTAAAGCACTTCTTCATGCTGTGCGTTCCCATCACACATTACTCACACACTGCTGGCACAGACACAATTTAGGGCTCAGTATCTAGTCCAAGGACACTGTGCCGTCCGGAGTGGAGGAGCCAGGAATCCAACCGTCCACCTTCTGGTTTGTGGACGAGCTGCTCTACCTCCTGAGCCACTGCGACCCCTTCTCTTTAACTTGTGTCATTCACAATCCCGGTCGAAACCTTTAAAATTGTAGAGAAAAACCAACAGTTCCCACAATGAGCAGCACTTTGTCAACTGTGGAGGAACAAAATGCCTCATTAACAGGGAGAAACCTCTAGAAGCAACGACATTGAAGAAGCGATGGTCCCTTTCCAATTAGGGTTTCCCATAGCAACCATGGACATGGCGCATTTCTTACGCTTGTCGGGACATGATGAGTCCGTGTCTCGGGATTGGAGGAAGAAAATGCTCACAGTGCAGGTGCCCCCTTCAGGGTCACACCGGAGAGGAAAGTAACTCAAATAACATAAGGTAGTGTTTATGATTTGCTACCTCATAAAATGTTTACACCTGTAGTAACTTTTATGAAAGTTCAATAAGGGTTAAATAGGCGCTGGATGAGGACCAGTATAAAACAGTGTTAGCTTGCTGAGGATCTCTGGCCCCGTTTAGACCTGAGAACATACCTAGAACTGCCCGCTTGTGATCTGATCACTCAGGATGGAAGGTAAAACCAGGTCTGAACAGGGTCCAAGCTTTTCTAAATGCTTTTTCTATGATTTTCTTCCATCATGAGCAAACCACTCACTGGTTTCTTTTACAGTAAGCATCTCGCTTTCTACGCAGGCAAAGGAGCTGTGAGTAATCACGGCCCCTGTGAAGAGTAAACCGCGTGTTTGCTCCCAAAACATCTAAATGTACACTTTGGGCGTCGTTTTGTTTTCCAGGCGGTGAGAAATCTTGTTGCTGCTGTGCTAAAGGAGAAAGGGCAAAATGGGCCAATCACACAGGCATCCCCTCAGGTGAGTTACTCATCGAAATAATGCTCTGAGGTGGTGAAAAGATGAGAGGGACTCTTGTGAGGATTTCATTGGAGTTTTTAGTTTTCTATTTATATCAGCTTGTGGAAGCAGGACTGAGTTGGTTGGAACAAATGTAAAGTAATTGTTAATGCAAAGTAGATCTATTAAGTATTATCAGCAATCAAAATACCCACAGTTGTTACGCAGTATACAGTATGGTGCCTTTAAGCTAAATCTGTATTTAGACCTTGGTGGTGTTGTTGTGTGGATCAGGGCCCAGCGTTGGAGGCTCTGTGGCAGCAGTGCTGCAGTGACTGTGCTCTGGTGCGTTCATCCTGCTGCGATGCCGTGGTGCTGCTCGTGGATCAGGACCACGCCGACCTGCACTACATCCTCAACTGTGTCCTCAACCTCCTGCCCTCCGCCAGGTACGCGCAGCACACCCACAGCTCGTCTCAGTCACATCATCCTTCCCCAAGAATCAGCTTCACACTTGGCACGTGAATACACTCCGAGAAAGTGCAGTGTCGCAATCGGTGCGGACTGACAACATTCACGGTTATCTTCAAAGTAAAAGCACAACATTATGTTCTGTTGCCGTAATGCTTTATATTGAGCTGAATTACAGAGCTTTTATTTTAAAAAGTGAATCAGGTGGGAACTGCAGGGGGAAAAACATGAAAAACGTGAGCATTGTTTCTTGGACTTTCTCCTGTTTCCTGTTTCTCTGGACACCTTGTATAATTAATTCTCAATAATCACATCAATATTATCAAATAATAACCTTCTTCTCTTTCCTGCTATTGACTTGAACTCTTAACAGAAATGTCCAGGGGCTTATAAAGGTCATTGGACGGCTGCTCCAGATGCAAGCAGACCAGAGAGACCGAGAATCCCGCTTCGCCTGTCCCTACTCCATCAGGTCTGTCGCTGTCATGTGTTTTTTTATTGATATTCTGTGTAGCATGTTAAACTGTGCACACACGGGGTAGCTAACCTCAACCCATTCATGCATAACACACACGCACACACACACACACAC